GCTCTGTGGCCCAGGCTGGAGTGCAGTGGCGCTATCGCGGCTCACTGCAAGCTCTGCCTCCCAGTTCAAGCGATTCTTCTGCCGCAGCCTCCCGAGTAGCTGGGACTACAGCTATGCGCCACCACGCCTGGCTCACTCTTTTTTTTTTTGTAGTTTTAGTCGAGACAGGGTTTCACTATATTGGCCAGGTTGGTCTCGAACTCCTGGCCTCGTGGTCCGCCCGCCTCAGCCTCCCAAAGTGCTGGGAATGCAGGCTTGAGCCACCGCACCTGGCTTTTTTTTTTTTTTTTTTTTGAGATGGAGTCTCAGGCTGTTGCCCAGCCTGGAGTGCAGTAGCATGATCTTGGCTCACTGCAACCTCCGCCTCCCAGTTCAAGCAATTCTCCTGCCTTAGCCTCTTGAGTAGCTGGGATTACAGGCACCTGCCACCACGCCTGGCTAATTTTTATATTTTTACTTGAGACGTGGTTTCACTATGTTGGCCAGGCTGGTCTCAAAACTCCTGACCTCAGGTGATCTGCCCGCCTCAGCCTTCCAAAATGCTGGGATTACAGGCGTAAGCCACGGCACCTGGCCCTGTATTATTACTATTACTGCTATCATTATTGTGAGTGAATGGGAGCACGTTGTTCACCTTGTGAATGGGAGTTTCTGAACTGAGCAACTGCTGAGTGTGTTGCATCCTAGAGACACAGCAGTGATCAAGACAGACAGACCCTGTCCCCGATCTTAGGGGTTTGTTGGTCCTGGTGGGCGGGGTGCAGGTACCTGCTGGCAGCTTCGTGCAGGCCGATCAGGTGTGTGGAACTGGAGTCCCAGGCACTGAGGAGGCCCTGCAGCCGTCCTGGGAGGCGTTCCTGAAAGTCCTGTAAAGGGATGCCTCAGGGAGCGTGGGGCTGGGGAGGACCCCTGGGAGAGAGGACATGGTGGATGTTGGTCCCAGGCCCAGCCAGCTGACTGTCACTGCAGGGGAAGAAGTTCCTGGGCGACCTGCAGCCGGACGGAAGGATCATGTGGCAGGAGACTGGGCAGATCTTCAACTCACCCAGCGCCTGGGCCACCCACTGCAAGAAGCTGGTAAACCCTGCCAAGAAGTCGGGCTGTGGCTGGGCCTCTGTCAAGTACAAAGGCCAGAAACTGGACAAGTACAAGGCCACCTGGCTCCGGCTGCACCAGCTGCACACGCCTGCCACTGCTGCTGACGAGGTATGTGCTGCAGCCTCCTCCAGGAAGCCGCCCAGGTCACTGTGGAATGAGGGGTGCCCAGCCTGACACAGCTGTCTCAGGAGGAGGTATTATAGTAATATATACAAACATGGATGGAGCCCTTACCATGTGACATGCCTCTTCCATCCCTCCAAGACTGGGGTGGAGAGAGGGGACATGGGAGCTTGGGCTTTGAGGGATGAGCAGGAGTTTTTCAGAGCAACTTGAAGGAAAGGGCTTTCTTTTCTTTTCTTTTTTCTTTTTTCGAGACTGAGTCTCACTCTTGCCCAGGCTGGAGTGCAGTGACGCGATCTTGCCTCACTGCAAGCTCTGCCTCCCGGGTTCACGCCATTCTCCTGCCTCAGCCTCCTGAGTAGCTGGGACTATAGGCGCCCGCCACCACCCCCGGCTAGGGAAGAGCTTTCTAGAAGGATGGAATGGCATATGCAAAGTCACGTAGGCAAGAAGACAGACATGCTGGTGTTGTGGGTGGCTGAGGGGGCTGGAAATGTTGGCAGGGACCAGAGGGGCCCTGGGGAACTTCAAATGCTATGATAATAGATGTTCTTTGAGTGTTCACCAGCCGGGTGAACTTGGCCAAGAACCCTTTGTGTACCTTAGTTTTTTTCTCTTTTTTTTTTTTTTTTTTT